TAGCTGGGATTTTGAGCAAAAGGGCATCAGGATTTTTCGAGCCCTAAATCCATGTAACCTGGAATAAAGTACTTTACCTCCCTTAAATTTCTTACTCCTGGTCTGTAAAATGGGAATGGGAATAATGTGTGTTTGCTCCCCTGGGCTGTGGTAAGAATTAAACAGTGTGACGTGTATAAGGGAAAAGCACTCTCCCCTCCTTTATAACACAAAGTACAGACTTCCAAGGTTTTAGCAAAAAATTCTCCAGGATTTCTCTTAATTTCTCTTAATTTCTTCAAGTATTGGTACTTGTTGCTATAAAGGCTTGAGGCAGAGAATAATTTCACCCCTTAGGTGAGACCCTCACCCAAAATATTTCTGTGGTCTCTGGTTCCATATGGATCCACAGAAAAGTCCTTTGTAGTTGTCTACCTGTGGCCACCTGCTAGAGACAGGATATGTACCTCCTGGAGACACTGTTCCATAGCACACTTTGCCCCTAACCCTCAGACTTGTCAACCCATCTTGCTGATGGATCCAGAGCCCAGATCAGCTGCCCCTGATCTGTTATGGCCATGAAACATACTGAACGCCCCCAAATTTCTTCCATATCCTTGCCTTCATTGCAACTTTTGCCAAATCCAACTTTTTTTTTTCATTCTGTGTTAGCCTGGATTCTCTAGAAAACAGCCTGAGTTACATGCTAGTGCATCCATGGGGACTGTCATTGTAGGGAATTAGGAGTGAGTGCAAAAGGGAAGGAAGGAAAGGAGGGAAGCAAATACAAGATGGCATGTTATCCAGCTGGTTACAGATCAAAAACCTGGTTTACTTTTCAGTACTGTGATATTTCCAGACACACTATTTTGAGGTACCGTGTCTTCCAACAGCCAAGAGGTGGGAGTGAGCAAATTTTTTTTTTAATATTTTATTTATTTATTTGAGAGAGAGAATGAGAGACAGAGAGCACGAGAGGGAAGAGGGTCAGAGGGAGAAGCAGACCCCCCGCCAAGGAGGGAGCCGGATGTGGGACTTGATCCCGGGACTCCAGGATCATGACCTGAGCTGAAGGCAGTCGCTTAACCAACTGAGCCACCCAGGCGCCCTGGGAGTGAGCAAATTTGTCTGCAGACTCTTTCCAATCTTCTGTCTCTCATTGATCAAAATTTGTCCCATGGCTCAAACCTCCCCTGGACTCACAGGGTATATCCCCTGGCACCTGTAGGCATTCACTGGAAAATCTAGAGTCCCAAACCTGTAGGAGAGGCGAGCTCAGGGCACAATCCCTGCCCATCCTTCTCTCCAGATGGTCCTCTCCCACCCACCACCCACCTGCCAAGGATGGCCACAAGGGGCAGGGGCTTTAAGACCAACAGTTCAGGGGCGCCTGGGTGGCTCAGTCGTTAAGCGTCTGCCTTCGGCTCAGGTCATGATCCCAGGGTCCTGGGATTGAGCCCTGCATTGGGCTCCCTGCTCGGCGGGGGGCCTGCTTCTCCCTCTCCCTCTGTCCCTGCTTGTGTTCCCTCTCTCACTGTGTCTCTGTCAAATAAATAAATAAAATCTTAAAAAAAAAAAAAAGACCAACACTTCAAAGTTCCAGGGGCCCCTTTATTGGGAAACTTGAACAATGCGCTGCCTGAGATGCAGTGAGGCTGAGCATATCTGGAGAGGTACATCACTCAAAGACAGTTTTACACCTTGGGTGGAATCTCAACTGAAGAGTTGCTTGAGCCTTGAATGTTTTAGCTCTTCAGTGATGCAGCCTTTTTAGTTCACATATGCCTGGTTGTTTTACCAAAGCCTACAATAGCACAGATTGGAGTGAGGTCCACTGTGTCCTGGGAGCTAACACTTCCTTCTGGGTGTGACCTTTGTCCTGTTTGGAGACCCTCCCTCTGGGTGAGTTCCTTCTCAAGGGCCCCATGGCCATTTCCTGCAATACAGCCTGCACCCACTCTCTCCCCACTAGGCGTGATTTATATCTTTGACACTCAATGAAGTAGATACAAGATCTGAGCCTTCCCGATCTCCAAAGTCTCCACCAACACTTAAGTAAACCCTGGGTACATTTACAATGCAAATGGTTATCTCTGGAGGAAGGGTAACACCTACTCACACAACAGACTAGGATCTGAGCCCCAGGAACCCAGTCCAGCTGGGACGAACCTGTAAGTAAGCCCTTGATATATATTGTCAAACTGGGGCATATAGGCATTTTATTATGCACCCAGAGTATCCTGGCATTGGGTTAGCTAAGCATCTGGCCCAGGTCCTTAACTCTGTGAAAGTCTGTAGTCCTACAACTCATCCTGAGTTTCTCAGGTGAACTATCAAAGGTAGTTCAGAGTCACATAGGGTGGAGGACTAGAACTATCTGCTACTTACCGCCCTATCCCCAGATGACTACAAATACAAAATTCACATTCAGCTGCTTTGTCGCATTCGCTTGCAGAAGCCATCGGACCAGTTTTTCTCCTCCTCAACACCACACGGAACACACACCTCCCCCTCTCCACACCAGCCCTCGGTCACAGTTGTGAGCCCTGTTTTTAGCTCTCTAGTCAGCACATGCCTCATAGGTGTGAGGGAATCAGCTGGAGTGGAACTGAAGAGCACCCTTCTAGATGAGAAACATGTTCCTTCCACATTTTCTCCGTCACTTCTCAGGGGAATGAAGTTTCAAAATTGCATATTTTTATTTATGAGTCGGTTATATGACTGTTCCTGTTTGGTGTGAGATACATCAGGAATAAAGAATGCATGAGCATCATCTGTTCTCTGAGTATTTGCACACCAGGCTGTGATGTGGAAAGGAAGTGAGAAGCTTAGGAAAAAAGGAAAAGAGAAGAGAAGAGAAGAGAAGAGAAGAGAAGAGAAGAGAAGAGAAGAGAAGAGAAGAGAAAAGAAGGAATAACATCAAGCCACATTTGCCGATAACAAAGAGTATTAACCAAATGGAGGGTGGCCAAGGGTATAGGAAGGAAACGTTTATTAAAATGTGACAGGGGCGCCTGGGTGGCTCAGTCGTTAAGCCTTCAGCTCAGGTCACGATCCCAGGGTCCTGGGATCGAGTCCCGCATCGGGCTCCCTGCTCCGCGGGAAGCCTGCTTCTCCCTCTCCCACTCCCCCTGCTTGTGTTTCCTCTCTCCCTGTGTCTCTCTCTGTCAAATAAATAAATCTTTAAAATAAAATAAAATAAAATAATAAGATGTGACAAATATATACTTTGTGATACATGAACAGATCCCTTTCTGATCTATCTTCAAGTTGAAATCCATCTCAAATGATCACCCCTCCACTTTAATTTGCACCTAGTTTCCTCCATTCTACTTCCCCAAGGCCTGTGCCATTAACAGGACTGATATTTACACGTAAGACGTGTGAAAGATTAAATGGTTTCTTCAGTAATTTCCACCAGTGAACACAGTTGGAAAATAAGTTGATGGCGCTTCCCACATGTATTGCATGTGGTGCTGTTACAGACTGCCTTTTACCCAATGACTAGTGAAGAAATAAAAGTGGTAGACACCACAAACATGCAACAGAAAAAGAAAAATTCACTCCTCAACAGCAAACGAGAAAAGAGTAACTTAACAACACATTTGAAAAAGTGTCTGCCAGGAAAAGAAACAAAGCATCTGCCCTGCCTAAGACGGACTCTAAAGGTGATCCCCCACCTCCTAAAACAGTGCTAGAAAAAGAAGACATCCAGAAAGCCATGAGAATTCCTCAGTTTATGTATTCCCCAATTTAGAGAGGAGCAGAATGGGAGGTAAATAGCCAAGGGGAAGGTGTGGGAAATCCCTGGAGGCTTTAAGTCTGTGAAGGCTGACACAGGACTCAGTGGAGGAACCTGCAGGAATCACTCCTTTGTTACCTCTGAACAAGGGAAAAAGTAGAGTGGTAAGGCAGAAAAACCAAAACTATATCTAGTATTCCAAATGAGGAGTAAGGAGCTGGAAATTTGAAAAGAGAAAATAAGAAGAAAGGATATCCATAGACAAAAGCCATGGGAACAGTTACATTGAAGCTGCAGTGAAAATAGACTTCCCTCAACACCCCACCCCCTTCACTGTTAATACTGGCTGAAATCCACAGGCACCCCAGTCCTTCCCCTATACAAAGTGGAAATCAAAAGAATGAAATAGGGAAGTGAGGGACACCTGAGTGGCTCAGTAGGTTAAGCATCTGACCCAGGATTTCTGCTCAGGTCATGATCTCAGGGTCCTGAGATTGAGCCCCACATCAGGCTCTATGCTGAGTGTGGAGCCTGCTAAAGATTTTCTCTCCTACTCCCTCTGCCCCTCCCCACCTCAAAAAAAAAAAAAAAAAAAAAGACAAATCTTACGGAATAGGGAAGTGAACATCAGGGCTCGCTCAGGAGGAGTCGGAGGCTCTGCGGTGCCACAGTTAACGAAGGGCTGATCTAAAACCTAGGGCATCCCTGCTCAGGGACTGAACATGTCCCTAAAAGTGGAGTAAATTTTAATACAGGACAGTGAATAAAATCTCAGAGTTGAGAAATTGAAAATTAAATGCACGAAAAAATGCTACCCTCAGCCCCAACTTCCCCTTAAGTTTTTGGAGAGAAATAGATGGAAGGCAATACTGAGCCATCAGGCTGGCATCCTGGATGGAAAAACAAACAGATCTCACCGTAGCAGGCAAAAGAACTAGAAAACTCTGGCACCACATCAGAGGTCTGGGCAGAGCTGTCCATGCTCCACACAAATAGGATGAGATAAAGCGACATGGCAACTCTGCAGTCATCCTAAAAATATACAAAAAAGGGGGATACAGTATGCGGAAAAGGAGATGAAAAGTGCAATCTGGAATAAAATATAGCCTAAGAGGTAGAAGATAATCCCATGTGAATGCTCAAGATAGCACTTAGTAAGAAAATTAATTCAATGGAACAAGAGCTAAAAGACAACTTGAAAAAACATCAAAATTAGATGTAGAAGGTGTTGTGAAACCAAAGAAAGAGAATGAGGACTAAAAGCACACCATTTCCTAACTAATACATAAACTAGAAACGGAGAGAAACAGACTAAACACAAGTGCAAATTGAATTTTTAATAGAAAGGAAGGGACTATTCATAGCAAAGGAAAGAGACAAACACAAAGTAGATACCAAGAACACAGAAAGGCCAACCCAAAGATAACTATGTCCCCAAGGCAAAGAACCCAACAAATAGACACAAAAATACATTCAAATATTGTAGTAAGGAGTCTGACTCCATTTTTGATGTTTGAGGGCTCACAGCCTTCAATACCCCATCACCCCCTCCCCCATGCTGCCCCATACCCAGGCAGACTAATCAGGAAACTTGGGGCTCCCTCCTTTAGCATTGGCAAGAAGTTCAAAACACACAAACTGCTGGTCAGCACGGGATAATCTTCTTGCTGGCCCCACTCGCTAAACACCATGCAACCTCATGCCAAGAGCCCTTCTCCCTTCTCCCAAGCCATTTATGGACCTCCTTGGGAGACTCCTCCCAGAAAGCCTATTTGAGTAATAAAACTTTTCATACCTTCTCAGTGTGTGTGTACCTTCATCAGTCTCCACACCAAACCTGTTCCAGTTGGGGGTGGCGAGTCCACTTCATTTCTATGGGATAATCACAACAAATATATGCCAGAAGACATTTCTCCATAAGACTGGAAAAACTGTATGTGTAGCTTGATGGAAGAGCATATTGTGTTCCGAAGAACCTGATATAAAATGATGATCCTGGAACATATTTTGGTAAAGTTATCAAACTCCAAGGATAAAGAGAAAATTCTTTGGGCATCCAAATGAAAAAAGTAAGAGGAAAAAGAACCCACAAATTTCAGACTTCTCCATAGCAATGTCTACAAAGTTTTGAGGAAAAAAAAATGCTTATGTTGAGCCAAGATGCTGTTCAATTATTAAGCAAAAGTTACATATTCTCAACCAGGATTGCATTCATAGTTTTTATGAGTTCCTTTTGGGAAAACTGATAGCTGAAAACAAGTCAACCAAGAGATTAATGAAAATAAAGAAGTCAGGAATTGGGGTGCTTCGGCATTTAGTGAACATTAAATCCATGTAGAACCAAGGTTTTGTTAAAATGGAAATTAGGTTGATGAAATTAAATATAAGTATTTTAATGTTTGGTAGTATAAAATTAATGTATTGCTAAGAGAACTAGTTTCAGAATGGACAAAATAGGTGCAATCAAGTTTTAAGAGAACTAATTTCTAAATTTTTCACACTGTCTTAAATGAAATACATCACTTAAGCAATAAATTGACTATAACTTCTTAATCTTTTCTTAATCTTTGTGAGGGTAACAATCTGGAGAGCTGTGGTCTGGATATGGTCCATCAATATTCCTGTGGAAATATTTTGCTCATTTTGTTTGATCTACTCGGTGATGACAGAGGCAATGTAATCAGAGAGATTTTTATTTTGAGAACAATACAAAGTGACTTGCTATTTACAGCTTGCTTCATGAATCATATTCTACTCCTGAAGGCACTTGAGTTTGAGACCCCTGCTTCAGAGGAGTATTTTAGGAACACACATGCCTTTGTTAAAGAAACAACAATCTAAAATAATTTCTTTGGTTTCTTTTCCTTCTCTTATCCACTTTACTAAAATCATTTCTATATGTCTATAGGTAGATTGCACTTATCACATACAGATCGAGACCTAGACATAAGTATACATACAGAGAAAACTGGAATTCAGTTTAGCAGATGTTCACAGCTCCTGGTTGGTAAGATTTTTCTATAATTTTTCACCATCTAGTTTGTACTTCTGTGTCTTGATGGAATTTCCACTAATGGGAATGTATTGTTTGTACAGAAAGAGTAAAGTCGTCATTCAAAACATAATGAAAACAAAGTGAATTACTTATGTGCCCAGGTTTTTTTTACATTAGGTGCTAAAAGAGATTATATATCAATAACATTACTTTGACCCAAATATTAACACCGTTTCTCATGGTAATTTGTAAATAATAATTCATTAATCATCATCAGAATTCACTTAAGGTCTTTTTAGTGTTAAAGAAAGGTTCAAAGTAAATTATTAATAATACTGCATTTGGAAAGAATGTGATCATTTGTCTCTTCAGCATAACTGCCCATCTTTTGTTTACACAGGATTTGAAGAGGTTTTCCCTTTTTTTTTTTTAAAGATTTTACTTATTCATTTGAGAGAGAATGAGATAGAGAGAGCATGAGAGGGGGGAGGGTCAGAGGGAGAAGCAGACTCCCTGCCGAGCAGGGAGTCCGATGCGGGACTCGATCCAGGGACTCCAGGATCATGACCTGAGCCGAAGGCAGTCGCTCAACCAACTGAGCCACCCAGGCGCCCGAGGTTTTCCCTTGAATGTTTGTTTAGATTAGTGAATCGACAAGAGGGGCACGGTTACTTTCTTTCACAGTCAGCATAGCATTACTGAAGATAATGTGATTCTTCTAATAAGTCAAAAATATCCAGAGAGGTCCTAACTGGTCTCATTAGAACCCCAGGTAACTCGTAGGATCTGTTTGACACTTCACCCAATTTCCTCGTTGTTCCAACAACACGCCAGCCCATTCTCAGCTCTGTGTCTAGACTGGAGTCATTTCTCCCTTGTGATATGCTCTCAAACAGAAAAAGGACATTAGGTAAAAGTTAATACGTCCGAAGAGAGTATGAATTTGAGTTAATAGTAATGTATCAGTATTGGTTTATTAATTGTAACAAATATGCCATAGTAATCCAAGATCTGGTATTTCAAAAACACAGTCCTTCCCCACGAAGAACTTACAAACTCAGGTGAACTTTATATAAAAAAAAAAAAATAACAATAAAAAATAAAAAAGACAATACAAAGTAGAAAAGAGTGCCGTGATTGATGTGAACATGGGTCACAATACAAAGTAGAAAAGAGTGCCATGATTGATGTGAACATGGATACTCTGAGTCCACGGTGATACTCACCCTTTATCAAGCTATGTTTACTGTGTGCTCAGCACAGTGGTAAGTGCTTTTCGAGCATTATTTCGTTGGGCCTCACAACAGTCCTGTAGGCAGGTCCATTTGCATAGGTGAGGAAACTCACAAAGAGAATTTGCATGACTTTCCCACGGTCACTCAGTGGTGGTGGGTAGAGCCAGGTGCTGAACGCCAAGTGCTAATCCAGCCCCGGCTCTTAACCACTGTCCTGCTGACGGTTCCATAAATGCTGAAGGTAGCAAGGAGCCTAACCTTCAAGAGGGCTCTCGCCAGACAGCGTGTGGCCAGCAGCATCAAAATACCAAGAGGAGGTCAAGCAAAATGATGATATAAAGGTCCTCAGGCTTGGGGCGCCTGGGTGGCTCAGTCAATTGAGCATCTGACTCTTGGTTTTGGCTGGGGTCAGGATCTCCGGATCGTGATCTCAGAGTCGTGGGATCAGCCCTGCATCAGGCGCCATGCTCAGAGGGGGCTCTGCTTGGGATTCTCTCCCTCTCCTTGTGTCCCTCCCCCTGCTCGTGCTCTCTCTCTCTAATAAATAAATCAATCTTTTTTTTTTTTTTTTAAAGAAAATGTCCTCGGGCTTTAACCACAGTGGGGTCCTTGGGAATCTTGGCAAGGGAAGTCTGGGGTGCATGGCGGTGGGGGGAGCCAATGACAAACTCAGTGAGTTGACAAATGAATATGTGACAGACATGGATACACCGAGGGGCGTCTGGCTGGCTCAGTTGGTAGAGCACGTAACTCTTGATCTCAGAGCTGTGAGTTCAAGCCCCGTGTTGGGGGTAGAGTTTACTTTAAAAAATTTTTTTAAATAAAAAAAATTAAAGAAGAAATGGATACACTGAGTGCTGAGTATTATTTCTAGAAGCCTGACTGTTCAGATAATGGGAGAGGTCAGCAATAGACATCCACCCAAAGAGAGACCTTTCTACAATTTGTTCTGCTTGTTTTTTTCTGAGAATGGAGACATCAGAGCATGGTAGTGCACGAGTGTGGAGCTGGCCTGCCTAGCTTCTCTTCCACTCGGTTTTGCAACAGAACCTGATTTTATTTGAGTATTCCTCTTCTCCCACTCCATGCTGTCTTGTCAGGACTGAGAGCCTGAGGCAGGGGAGAGGGGAGGTTCTGACCCACCTTAGGACCATTCAGCACTGTCCCTGGGGTCTTTAAAACGTGAGTGATTGATACCAGGACAAAAATGGTTAGAGTTGATTCACCCCAACAATGATGAGGAGTCCGGCTCCGGGTTAAAAACCTCTGTGTGATTTTTCAGCCTGACCTTCCAGAAACCTTCCCTGGCACGTCTCAGGAGGAAAGTTGCCCGCCACATGCCAGTGGGGTGCACACAGCTCGTGCACTGAGTTGCAGTCAAGCACTAAGCCCCTTTGGCTCATGCTCTTGGCACATCTGCATTTCTCGCCAGGTGCCTTCATTCCTTGGCGTCTCTATCTGAGGCTTTGGGCACAGGTCTTCTTCAGGCACTTCTGCTGAGGGCTCCTTATGGGGGGGGGGGGAGGGGGGAGGCGGGGGAGGAGGCAATCTGAGAGACACTTTTCCCCACTCTGACTCAGTAGCCAGTACCCTTCCACTCCTATCAAGTAGCTTTAATCAGACACCTAACAACCCATTTCTCCCTCAGCTCAGCTGAGCACCTGACAAGTGGTCTTGGAGGTCACGGTCTATAATGCAAGGTTACCCAGCCCGATAGAGCTGCCCTGCCACCTGCTCTTCCCGAGGCCAGCTCTCGTGCACTTCCTTACATGTGATGGGCCCTTTTTTTGGCTTCAATTAGCCAGAGTTCTTCGTAGTTGCAAAATCCTAGCCGTCGTGAGCATGTTTATAGGCTGATCGTGAAAAACCAACAAAGAAACGTAAAAAAAAAAAAAAAGATCCCATATCAGTCCATATAACTAACTGGGTATCTTCACCACAGACAGCTTGAGAAAGAGACATAGTGGGAGTTACGCTTTTTATCTGAAATATTTTCTAAACTATTTTTCTGCTAAATGGATCATTTTCAGGTATAGTTCTGAAGCAAAAAAAAAAAGTCAAAATAAAAATATATTTACCAAACCTAAAGGTCTGTCATAGATTTGGAAATGTTGAGTTCAACTTTGAGGGAAAAAACCCAAATCTATTTCAGGAAGGGAATGTTGGTTTTGTTCTCTGGGTAAAACTTAAAGTACCCAAGAATGGCCAGCAGAGGGAGCCAAAACCACGCATGTAACTTTTTATTCTTCACAAACCTTTTAGGAAAATGGGTTATTAAAAACTGCAAAATGCAAATGAACCTCATCTTGCCAAAATATATGCAAAAATCATAGAAATCATATAACTTAATGCTACTGTGCTGCCACGTGCTGTATGGAAAATTTTAAAGCTAGAAAGAGATTCTGAATCTCAAGTAGTTCTGAAAAGAAGCATCCCCCCACCCTCCCTTCCTCTCTCTTCCTCTCTTCCCTCTCTGGGACTGGCTTGCAATAACTCCTGAAAAGTAGCTAATTTGTATTCTATTTCAGTTGATACATTCTGAATTGTATAACAACACTTTTTCACTTGTCACTGCTGGGAGCATCCTGGTTCATACTGGAAACAGGTGTGTTGAGAAGAAGCCAGAGAGCCTCTGACACAGACCTCTGAAATCAGGCCTCAGGGATACCTTAGGAAAGAAAAGGAACAGGTTTCTCATGAAAGTTCATTGAAAAGGCATTTGCTGCAAGTATAAATGTCTCTCCATTTTCTGGGTGGTACCTGCATTGGTCAAGATGTTCCCTTTCTTGGCCCAATCTAAGAGGGGAAAGGAATTTATTGAAAGGATACTGGTTTGCATTACCCTTTTAGTGGTTTACGGTTAAAATTTGGGGAAGATATTTTCTACATAAAAATGAGAACAGTTTATTTTGTGTGACTTAATGTTCACAAACTTGAGAATTTAATTAAAATGGATTAAAAACCCCCAAACAAACACTTCAGGCCCAAACGGCTTTACTGGCAATTTCCAACAAATATTTAAGGAAGAAGAATGTCATGTGAAACAAAGCCAGAGAAGAAAAAAGAGAAAGTAGTTGCTATCCTTTTATGAAGCTAGCATTACCTGGATATCAAAACCCAAACAAGGGACTTCCATTTCCAGAAAGATGGAGTAGATGTACCTTTTCTATTCCTCTCAGTAAGTACAGATAAGAAGGATGGATGTTATAAATAAACATTAAGAGGACTCTGAAAGGTGGAGAGAGGCCGGCAGATGGATAAGGACCTCAGACAGGAGGAAGGCTACACTGGGAAGGGGCATGGGTTTTCTTTTTACTTCATATAGCCTAGGAGTTTTTCTTTCTTTCTTACCCACTGTATCCCTGGTGCCTAATAAAGTGTCCAGCAAGTAAGAGGTGCTTGGTAAATGAATGAAGGAATAAATCAATGAATGAGGGATCACTAAGTAGTGGATCTATTAAGCATGAAGGACTATCGAAAACACTATTGAAGAAAAAACAATTAAACTCAGTCCCTGATCTCTGATATATTCCCTAAACATTGGCCAATGTAAGAACACACAAGGTGAGGGGGGATATCTGCTAAAACCACAAACCATAAACAAAAATCAACTGCTTCTTAGCCATGACTAGTGATGATGTCATTTCCTTTCTACAGAATGAAGAACAGTACTATGGAAAAAGGAAGAATTTTAGGCAATCTGAGAAGAAGAATTCGAACATACCAAATACAGGATTAAAATAAAGATTCTGAGAAAGAAACACAGTATAAAACTGCTTGGACCATTCAATCCTGAATAACCTGAAAACTCACTTCTGCTGTTGTCGACACCATGGAGAAGGAAGGAAAAGAAATAAGATATAAGGATTTTCTGGGGCGCCTGGGTGACTCAGTTGGTTAAGTGTCTACCTTCAGCTCAGGTCATGATCCCGGGCTCCTGGGATCCTGGGATCAAGCCCCATGTCAAGCGCCTTGCTCAGAGGGGAGCCTGCTTCTCCCTCTCCCTCTGCCCCCTGCCCCTCCCACTCATGCTCTCTCTCTCCAGTAAATAAAATCTAAAAAAAAAAAAAAAAAAAAGAGGATTTTCTTTCCATTATTTTATACAAGAATATGAGGTGATCTAAAGCATTCAATGCCTACCACATACTGTCAATAAATCCCAAGCAATCAAGAAATCCACACATCAAATGACACCTGCTTGCAGGGCCGCTTTGCTGAACAACTGTAGGGGGTGCTGTTGGCAGGGTCGTCCATGTGAAAGGCACCCCCTGGACGCACAGCAAATATCCTAGCTGGCCAAACACTGCAGGCCGGCTCAAATAAATGTTTCGGTTTCCAAGGCATTACAGAACAACATGGTGATATCTACAATTTCTATACATATTCATGAAGACACACCACCAGGATGTGAAAGAGAGCCAAGCAGAGAAAGGAATATCCTGTTCTACTGACAAGACAGTTTCCTCGGTTAATGTCACCAGACAGTACAGCTATATTCCTTGCTAATCTGAATTTCGTTCAAATCACTGAAGAGCTTTGTTCATTTTGTGACAAAATTAGACACTTGCAAGATAAGTTTCTGACAATTCACATGAATTTATTTGTGCTCGGATCATTTAGTGTGGGAGCCTTTTTAAAAATGCATAGAAAGGGCTTTAGAACCAGATGAAATAATGTGATTTCTAAAAAAGCACTCCATCAAATGTTTTGCTAGGGTTCCATAAAAGCAGTATGAGGTGTCTGCTTCGTAATCATACAGTTTTTTACTTCATTTTTTGCTTTACTTGGAAAACTTACCAACATAATCTGCCAACACACTTTTTAAACCAGTCCGTTTTAAATCAGATGATCTCAACTAACGTTTAAGACTAAAAGATGAGAAGAAACAAAGGGGAAAGATACTTGAAGGTTAATTTGCCTAAGATTATTTTTTTAAATATGAAAATAGGACAGCTAGTAATAAGGGAGTGTTTCTCAAACTTAGCTGAACATGAGACTGACCTGGGGTGTTGGATGACAAGTGAGAATTTCCAGGCCTCATCCCTCATTCTGATTCCTGAGGTTTGGGATGGGGCTCAGCAATGTGTGTTATTAAAAGCAGTTGAAGAAGCTTTGCAATCAGGCAAATTCGGGAAATACTTGGTGTCAGGGAAAGAACACTGACCTAGTCATGGGGTTCAAAACACTAAGGCTCTTCTGTGTGTCCTTAACTGAGTCACTTTATCTTACTGGGGCTAAGTCCTCAGTTGTAAAAATAGAACAACAAGAAGGGTTTTAGTCTATAATCTCCTTGAAGACAGGAACCAGCTGGGCTATGCTCACAATTGGGTCCCCTGTGCCTCGCCTGGTGCCTGGCACCTAAGAACCTCCCAGATATTATTTGTTGACTAATTCACTAGCTAGACAACAGGCAAGATCCCTTTTCAAGTGTAAAAATTATATGATTCTAAAAATAAGTAAGTAAGAAAACAATTCATTTGGTCAGCCATGTACAAAACAATAGTTATTCTCAAACCCAAACAAAATATAAACCAAAAAAAAAAAAAAAAAGCACCCACTCCTTTTGCTTGGCACATTGCTGGTAAGTATTTCAAAGGATCAGACTTGGGTAACTTGATCTCATGCCTTCTTCATAGGATGGGAGGGTTCGAGGTAATGAACTGGATGCACTTAGCATGACTGTTTGGCTCACAAAAGTCAGTAGAGGCTCAGTAAAAGTGAGCTGAATCTGGAACCCCAGGAAATTACGTGGAAAACAGAGTAAGTTCTCCTGCTACACATACAGGAAAACTGTAGTCATAGGAGGGCTTTTAGGCTTTTTGTTACCTTAGTTCCAAAACATATGGTCACATAACAAGTCAAGAATTATTAGGAACCTTCTCTGACACCTGTGGGTTGTGCGAAATAAAGGCTTTTGAAACTAAAAAGAGGGGTGCCTGGCTTAGTCAGTGGAGCATGCAAATCTTGATCTCAGTGTTATGAGTTCAAGACCCACGTTGGGTCTAGAGATTACTTAAAAATAAAATCTTAAAAAAAAAAAAAAAAAAAAGCAAATCCAAAGAAGGCTTAGTTCAAATTTCTGCATCCCTCCTAAAATGTTTCAGAATTGAAAAAAAAAATCACATCACTTGTCCAGTCAACTGCATATCAATACCCTCCCTGAGCTAACACACAACAGTACACTTTTATATAATAACTTGTTTCCTCCTTTTGAAAAAAATTCTGAAAATACTGATCCTGAGATGGGGGGAGGGGGAAGGAAACCACTAACTTTTAGGACATTCAAGTCCCAATTTCTCAGTTTGACAAGTAAAATACAAATTGTTCATAAAAATATTGCCAAGTTGTGACCAAATTTAATCGGAATGTTATTAAGACATTAAATTTAAAAATAAGACTATGCATATGCAGTGCAAAATCACAAGATGTGGGGGTGTTTTTTATTCAAAGAGCAGTTCTGACTTGGAACTGGCGTAAGGGTCAGTAGGTCTTATAAATTTAAGATTGTACGTTCTGTGTAAGAAAAGCTCCCAGCTGCAGAATTCTGAAACTCTTAAAACCACACGATCTCAGGCAGTGAAGAGGCAAGAGATTTTTCACTGAGAGCGGAGATGGAGGTGTCCCGGGGAGGCGATGCTGAGATCACCCACCATCCTTCTCTGGGTACAAGGTGAAGGCGTTGGGGAAGACACAGAAAAAGGGGACAGAGTAACGTTCATGCTATACTGTTCTAACAGCTTCAGAGAACAGGAGTCTTCCGTATACTTTCCCAGCATCTTCCCCATGCCCTAAAATCCACCCCGGAGAAAGAGGTTGGCTTAGGTGTCAGGAAGAAGAACCAAACCAGCCCGCGTGCAATGGCCCCTAGTCAGGCACCAGATAGGGCAGCGAGCTGACCACCTCCCCGGATTCGGTGACAATGTCATCGTAAACCCAGCGTCGGTTGCAGCGGCACTCGGGCCCGCACTTGTTGGAGTTGCACTTGGGACAAGGGTAGAAGCAGCCCAGACAGTTCTTCTCCAAGCAGTCACACAGATCAGCATCATTGAAGATCAGCCTGCCGCTCTTGTCGTACTTCTTCCTAACTCTGCCGGGAGAACAGAAGACAGTGCCAGGTTCCCCAGCAAGGAGCATGAACCACTCTGCAGCCACCTCCCTAACTCCGATCGCTTGATTCCGGGGAACCAGCACCCGGAGGATTCCCCAGCCACGATTCCCAAGAGTAGATGGCAGCGGTGTCCCCAGGAAATTCAGCCCATGCGCCCCCCACCCCCCCACGCCGATTTCCAACACAGGCGGGCTCATCACTGACAGGACCCTTCGTTTTCCCTGGAAGGTGATATGCCACCAAAGTCAATTATAAAGAAGAGCTGAATAAAAGCTTCTTCCTACAAATGCCACCCCCCCCCATTTTTCTTTAAAAATATAATCATTCCTGATGGGATTTTTCCCTGATAAATTACACTCTTTTTTCTTTCTGCAAAAAAGCACTCTAGTGAATATGATTATGGTTTTTAATGACCCAAGATAAATAGGAGAACTGTCCATGACTGCACCATCATCACTAACAGAAAAACACACATATATACCCACCCACACACACACACACAAAAAACTCCTTTGGTAACAGTCTCCAGGTGCCATGCTTCAGCTCCTTTCTGATTCTGTCACCCAGTGTGGAGCGAGAAGGCAGGTGACCAAGATGGCGGCCTCTCTTGGAAGCTCTGAGCGAAGGCAAGGTGTTCTGTGCCAGAGGAACGCACCAGAGCCTACACCCCACTTGAGTCCCCACACTTTCTCCGTCAGCCCCTACAACGTGCCCAGGAAACAGAAGCTGTCACAGGAATTCTACCACCCTCTCAAAACCAGGCCCTTTTGAAATAAACCCTTCAGAATTGAGCTGCTTGAAAGCCTGAGGAGGACCAAGTGTCTCTAGACAGCTTGTATCCATTATTAACAACTGGAAGTTAAAAAAAAAAAAAAAGGCTGGCCCTCAGCTGGTGTGAGATTATGAACTTCTCCACCCTTTGTCTTGAAATAGGTTCAACACCTGCTCTCCTTCCTGTTCAGGGTAAGTAATGCTGTTCTCTCTTCTTCCCTCTCCTAACAAAGCAGGGAAGGCCGAGGATCATTATGGAAACTTGCTGCCTGATTTTCTCACTTAGGCAGGAATACCTTCCAATGAGGATTTATATCTGAAGCATTTCATCTGTGGAAGGAAGGCTCCACTCCTTCCCATGCCCACCAGGAAATGCAGGTATCAGCAGACCAGGAGATTTAAAATCCATGATGGAAATCACGGGAGTGGGTGGTCATGAAGCCACCAGATTGCCCATATCAGATCTTGTCCTTGTCCCTCTGCCTTAACCCAAATATTCCCTCGCCTTAACTCAGACACCAAGAGGCAAATTTTATAGTTTCCTGCCCACCTGATGCTATCTTTTATAAAATTTTAAACTATTCGTACACACGAAAGTGTGCAAAACATACATGCACAGATAAAGAAGAATAAAGCAAACCTCCACATTCGCACTGCCCAACGTGATAAAAGGTATAACAGGGTTGAGGTCTTCTTCATGCCCCGCCCACTGCATCCCTCAAACCCGCCCTCCAAGAGGAACCTAGCTTGCTGTTATAAAAATCATCTCCTTGGGGTCCCTGGCTGGCTCAGTTGGTAGAGCATGCAACTCTTGATCTCAGGGTCCTGGGGCTTAGAGTCATGAGTTCAAGACCCATGTTAGCCATAAAAAAAAAAATTCATCTCCCTGTCTTAGTTACATGTGTATGAATCCCCAAGCACATTGCATTTCCCTACATTGTGATTTGTGATTCATCCATGATGGTATTAGCTGTTATTCAAATATTTTCACTTCTATATGCATTCTGCTGTAAGAATATACAAGTTTCTCATCTTTTCCATTATGGATGGGCATTTTGATTATTACTATCTTATTTTCTTTACTATTATAACAATGCTATGAGACTTTTGAATGTGTCTCCTGTTGTAAAGATACAAGAGTTTTTCCAGGATATATATCTAGGAGTGAAGATGTTAGGTCATAAGGTATACAGCTCATACCAGCCTGTTTTTAAATAGTGGTTGTACACATATTACACTCAATTCATGTCCAGTAGTTTCACCAACATTGATATCATCAGACTACATGCTGCCTCTCTGGGGAGTGGGGTGATGCCCCATGCTATACTGATGAGATTCTGTATCCTGAACGTTTACTTAGCCTTTTCTTCTATGAAATGCCTATTCATTGATTGGTTCATTTTTCTCTTTGCATGTTTATCTTTTTCTTATTGGGTTGTATGTATTTTGGATACTGATCTTTCAAATTATAAGTAGTTTCTCCTATCTTGTGGTTTGTCTTTCATTATTTTTAAGATGTCTCTTAATGGGTATAAATTTTTAATTTTAATGTCAAATTCATCAGCCTTTTTGGTTGCTTTATGGTTTGTTTATACTTATGATGTGCTAACAATTGATGTGGGAAACAAAGGCAAAAGAAAAATTATTAAATAGCCTTAGTACCTACAGCCCATTCACAAGTCCTTGAACCAGGCAGAGTGACCTTCCTCTAGGGACTCAGCTGCCTTGATGTTGATACGTTACTAAGGGCAAAAGACAATCTTAGCCCGACCCGCAGGACCCCGTAAGTCTACTTTCACATATAAAAATTCCATTGGAAACTTCCTTTATCTCTACCCCCTAAGATTCATGTTGACAATCATCCCCCAAGCATATGGCCCACCGATATACACCTGAAGGGTCTCGTGACTAAGGTTTTATTAGACGGTGATAAATGACCTTTTCCCAACAATAGCTAGCCCCCTCAAGGTCTGGATACCTTGCTTCCAAAATTCCTTAGAGACTTACACTATCTCTAACCCTCTCCCAACTTGAAAGCATATAATGGGCAACCCCTCATGACCCCAGTGTAGCTCTTTCTGCCCTCGTGTCCATCCCCCGTGCTTTAATAAAATCACCTTTTAGCACCAAAGACGTCTCAGGAATTCTTTCTTGGCCATCAGCTCCAAGGCCCATCTTTCCTACATCAGCTATCATTGTACTTATGATATATCTGCACACATTTGATACCTGAATTCATTCCCACAGTTATATTATTTCTCCATCTAATGATACATCTTTCTTACTTTTAATCATCTTTCTTACTAAAGCTATTACTCTAAGCATCTCAGACCATCTGAAGCATTAAAAAAATTGATTCCTAGTTTGGGATTATTGTCTATTTCTTGAAGTTGTTAACTTCCAAACACATTGAGCGATATTGTACTTCAGAAAAGATATTTTTAAAACATAAAAAAGTGGCAACCTTTCCTTTGTCAAGGAGAACCCCTGCATTTTACAATCCACAAATCAAATATAATAAATCATGATCTTACTTGTATTTTACAGAAAAATATTCATTCATCTTTGACATCCGAGCTTTCTTTTTCTGCTGCCTTGTTTCAGGATTAAAGTCCGCTACCTGTGGTCCAGGATTTTGAAACGCCAAGCATTTTAACTGCCGCTCTATCTGTTGCTATGAAACAAATAATATGTATTCAGAGTAAGACCTGGATAATTTTGTTTTATGTTGTATCAAAATAAACTTTCTGTAACTTTTGCCATAATGTCACGAAAGTACAGATGTTTTACCTAGAGAAAGAAACAGCTTAATTTGATTAAGTTTCAAAAGATGTTGTAAATTTCCTCAAGTTAGGTGATTCTGAATAAAGAAATCCATAGTATACATCTCATATAATAAATATAAATATAGTCGGCTCAGCCTCTGACTTTTGATCTCAGCTTGGGTCTTTTGGTTGTTTTATTTTTTAAGATTTATTTATTTATTTTAGAGGCAGGGAAGGGGCAGAGAGAGAGGGAGAGAGAGTCTTAAGCAGCCTCCCCGCTGAGTACAGAGCCCCACGCAGGACTCAATCTCACCACCGAGATCACGACCTGAGCCAAAATCAAGCATTGGACGCTAAACCGACTGCACCACCCAGGTGCCCCTCAGCTTGGGTCTTGATCTCAGGGTTGTGAGTTCAAGCCCCATGCTGGGCTCCACACTGGGCGTGGAGCCTACTTTAAAATAAATAAATAAAGGGCACCTGGGTGGCTCAGTTGGTTAAGCGACTGCCTTCGGCTCAGGTCATGATCCTGGAGTCCCGGGATCGAGTCCCACATCGGGCTCCCTGCTCAGCGGAGAGTCTGCTTCTCCCTCTGACCCTCTTCCCTCTCATGCTCTCTGTCTCTCATTCTCTCTCTCGCAAATAAATAAAATCTTTAAAAAAATTAAAAAAAAAAAAATAAAATAAAATAAATAAATAAAAATAAAAATACATATTTATACTTATAAATATAAGTATATAAAAATATTTAAATAATATAATATATAATACAAATATTATATGTTAAGTATAAAATATATAAATATATATAACATATAAACATATGTTATATGTTTATATATAATATATATAAACAACCAAGCAGGAACAGAATTCCTTTTATACTTGCAAAATACCAGTTGGCTCCTCAAATCTGTTGGGGATGAAAGTCCAAATTAGCATTTATGGAGGACAAGAACAAGGGAGTAAAACCCTTCTGCAGTTGTTGGCTGGACGAACGCAGGTGGAATGTCTGAAGTGTTTCAAACCACAGTGAGCCCCAAGGTGCACACAGCCCCCTGCCCCTGCCTTTAGTGTCCTGAGATATGTTTCAGAATAATCATGACCTTGGGCGTGTGGACCCCATCAGGGCTTTGCAGCCACCTGCATGGTCCACTCTCAGTAAAAGCCAGATTTGAAGAAGAAAATTTTCCTAGAAGGGCTTTCTAGAGTGTTAGCGGAAAGTTTCAAAAGACTCTGGAGACATTAACAACTGGAAAAGAAACAGTCTAATGGAGAAGAGCAACAAAGATGCATAAATAAATCCTGATACCTTATTCCAAAAATGTAGCACATATATCATGAGGGAAGGGAATGATCTTCTGAAAGATTTTAGAAGAATATAATCTGAATGGCCCCCAAACACATAGGCTGCAGAAGGGTTTTACTCCCTTGTTCTTGTCCTCCATAAATGCTAATTTGGACTTTCATCCCCAACAGATTTGAGGAGCCAACTGGTATTTTGCAAGTATAAAAGGAATTCTGTTCCTGCTTGGTTGTTTATATATATTATATATAAACATATAACATATGTTTATATGTTATATATATTTATATATTTTATACTTAACATATAATATTTGTATTATATATTATATTATTTAAATATTTTTATATACTTATATTTATAAGTATAAATATGTATTTTTATTTTTATTTATTTATTTTATTTTATTTATTTATTTTTAATTTTTTAAAAATAATACTTTACCTGGAAACAAAGGGGAAACTTTCAAAGTGTGAATTTCAATGTTAACAGATTAGTAACAGAATCTCAGCCTTATATGCCTTTTTTTTTTTTAAGATTTTATTTATTTATTTGAGACAGAGAGAATGAGATACAGAGAGCATGAGAGGGAGGAGGGTCAGAGGGAGAAGCAGACTCCCCGCTGAGCAGGGAGCCCGATGCGGGACTCGATCCCGGGACTCCAGGATCATGACCTGAGCCGAAGGCAGTCGCTTAACCAACTGAGCCACCCAGGCGCCCCTTATATGCCATTTATTTATCTTAATAATAGTCCAGGCTGTTCTAAAATAATATAAATATATTTCTTTAATTTTTCATCTCGGTGTGCATGTATGGGTTTGTTTTTTACAAACTTAACCTTATGAAACAATTATGTATTTAGGTATGGCTGTGAAAAAAAATACAACTTCGGACCGTCCATTACCATTCTCAGTTCCATGGCAAACGATGAGGAACAGAGACATGAGGGTAAGCTTCTCTGTGTCCAAATCTGGGCTCTGCCACTTACTAGTGGCGTGCCTTGACCAAGCTCCTACTTCTCTGAGCCTCGGTGTCTCCTTTCTGCAAAATGGGGTAACAGGATTATCTTGTGAGAAGGATTTGGTGAATTAATATATGCAAAGTTTTAGAATCATGGGGCGCCTGGGTGGCTCAGTCGGTTGAGCGTCTGCTTTCGGCTCAGGTCATGATCTCAGGGCCCTGGTTCCCTGCTCAGCAGGGAGTCTGCTTCTCCCTCTGCCCCTCCCCACCCTGCTCATGCTCACTCTCTCACTCTCTCTCTCAAATAAATAAGTAAAATCTTTAAAAATGGGGGGGACTAGTTTTTTTAAAATAAAAACACTGGACACTATAAAAACACTATATTCTCCACAAATATTCTTCTCCAGGGAGCAGGATTTTATTGCACAGAACACTGGGCTATAAATCAAGGGAGGTCAATGACAGAGAGGAGGCATGTGAAGTGAGACCAGCCCCGCAGGGAGCTGAGTGAAAAGGGCGGGGCGAAGCCCCATCAGCACAGAGGAGTGGAGAACCTTCCCGTGAAATCCTGACTCGATCCACCTTCCACCCAAGTCCAGGCTCACCTCAGCGATCCCCAAGTTGAGACCTCTCCAAATACCATGAAACCCTCATACCCATTTGCCATACCAGTTGCTTCTGTCCAATCTGACAGTTTTTCTCAGGAGAACTTTGACCTGTGTGTCCCTCGTGAGTGGAAGTGCTTTTGTCTGATTGTTCATTCATTTCTGATCCCTGAAAAAAGTAATGGGGGAAAAAGTAGGACACATTCATATCATACGTCTGCAAGAACTTAATCCTGTGACTTTCTGGCTCTTGCCCTACAGCTTACTTTCTTGCAAAGCCAGGTTTCCTGAAAAAGCCATCCACCCTCCTGGCTGCTTTTTTACCACTCACTCTTAGATCCTGCATCTGCCCGCCACACCCATCCAGACCACTTGACGGACACTCTTCTCTTCTGGATGTTCCATGAGCAAATCAAACGTACCTTTTACAGTTGTTAGCATCGCAGACCTCGCTGGAGCAGGCAACACGGGGACCATCCACTTCTCTTTAAGAGGAGTATAAATTCTTAGACCTCCATTCTCCCCCCCTTACACTCAGTCCCTTGAAAAGAAGGAAGACGCATTGATGTCCTACATCCCCAGTAACACCGTGAAGATCTTATCCACTCCCGTGGTTTTGGTTGTCACCTCTTTGCAGAGAGAGTCCCTCAGGGTGCCTCTAAAATCCCTGACCTCCTCGCTCACGTTTTCTGACAAATTTCTAGTACAACCGGGGCTAAGGGGAAGGGACCGGTCTTCCATAAAACCCAGCTGTTGACACGCCTGTAATTTACTTTGGTTGTATACCCGGGGCACCGTGATGTGTGTGTGACTCAGGTGAAGTCAACACAGGATGCTAATCGCAAATGCAGTCCAGGCTGTTCTGCAGTGCTCGCTCAGAAAGGACCAAGGACCAAGCTCCCAAGGAGGCCTCCACAGCCCTCTGATTTTCTTCTCCCATTTCCACTGCTGGGGCCATCCTCAGGGCGCTGTTTCTACTAAAGGAGTCTGAGCTATGATTTACCAAGGGGGTCTGGGTCATGTGGCCCCCCCACCTGCCTGCCACCTGGACGTTCCATCTCCATACTCCCAGGTCTGGGTCACTAGACATTGACTGCCCACTCTCCAGTTCCCAGTATTAGGTCAAGAAGCTGATTTTTCTTTCCTAGCATCCCTAACATTGATTTTCCTTTTCATTCTCTATTGGACGGAATCCACCTCCGGATAGGGTAGTAGTATTAATACTACTTACCCTTGACGAAGACAGTCTTAACGTTCCTGTCAGCTTGACAAAACCCCACACCAGGCTTCTCTTCCCGACTCTTGGCCCTGACCTCCTTTTCCTTAGAGCTTTTACTTAAGAAAACTCATCCCTGTACATTCTTTCTCTGTCCCATTGAGATGTAAATCTTCTCCTAGCCTCTTGCCAGGTTTACAACCCAGGAATGTCTTCCTCAAAGATTAGGAGGCGTCCCTTTGAAATGTAATCAGCCAGAAAGATGGCGCCTGTGTTTGCCAGTCTCTGTGGGAAAGGTAGAAGCCTAACTTGCTAATTGGTGGGTGCCAATTAGGACACACAGGTGGCTTAATCACAGAGAAAAACATTTACAAACTCGGGAATAACTCCATATACTCAACACATCCCGTGGATCAACCTCCCTCAAGTCCCCCAGCATTTTCCGTCTGCCTTTTGTTTCACGCAGAGTTCACACTGAGTTCCGGTCCCCACGCCCCGCCCGCCCCCCCATCACCACAGCCTTGAATCGAGTCTTCTCTGCCTTGTTTAACTTTGTCCCGTGCAATTCCTCCCATGCCACTTCACATCTGATCAGCCAAACATTCTTGGGGAGTCTTTTCCAATTAGTCTGGAGAAAAAATCACAGGGAGCTGTTTGAAGAATTAGAAATTCCCAGTTGAAAGAGGACTTCAAACTCTCTCCAGTGGGACCTCAGTCTCAACTTCCTAATTAAGTTCTTTTTTCCAGCTTAACTCTTAATTCAGGCAAAAGACCCTGCGGGCACGGCATCCCCCAATGGGAACAAAACTACCCCCGTGAGCCAGCAAGACCCTGTCTGTGACTGACCCCAAAACAATGATACACCTGATCTCTACTGCACTTACCCACCGACCTTTGTCCCACATTTTCCTTGTATAAACCTAGTATTTCTAGCACTTTGGAAATGGTCTTTGAGATGTTCATCCGGTGTCTTCCCAGTGCTGGCCTCACTGAAATAAATTCCTTTCTTGTTGGACCACCGCCCGTCTCTCTGCCTTTGGACTTTGTCAGCGGAGAGTGGCCGAACCTGGTCTGTTTGGGAGCCCCAGAATCAGTGTTCTTGCACCCCGAGGCCCCACTTACCCCATCAAATTCCAGGCCTACTGGGGTTATAATGTGCAGAGGAGAGTCCTGGTAATCTGTATAATTAATAAGCTCGCAGGTGAATCCTCTCCTTAAGCAACGATGGGAAAAGATAAGATAGGGAAAGTAGGTAGAATTTTCTCCATCCAGTCTTGCCATCTGATCCTAAAATTATTGTCGGTATTTTCTTCCCACCCTCAAATTCATCCAAACCATTGTGGTTGTGTTAATATTCCTAAATCAAATATTTCTTTATCTCATTCCTATTAAAAGACTTCAATGACTCCCCTCTGCCAATAATACCCTACGAGCTCAACATGGCCGAGAAGGTCCCTCACAACTACTCTCAACCCACCCGCCTAGGCTCAGCTCCCCGCACACCTCCTCTGGGGCCAAGCCTACCTGACCTCACCACTTCCATTAACAAACACGCCTCCCATCTCCTACCTAACTCAGCGCTTCACCTTTGAACCTTGGTCTCAGCTCCGAGAAGCCTCCAGAAACCTCCCCCGACCTCTCTAGTCCTTGAAGGCCCCTTCTTCCCTGGGGCTCTCTTTGGTGCTTCCTCAAGAAAACTCCCCCTCAAAGGGACCCTAAACGCTCTACCATCTTCATGTAATACATTTTCCTCCTCGTGGGAATAAATATGACCTTATGACCATCTTTGCAAACTAGAATTTTTCCTAAAACAGCATCCGTGTAACTACAAGGGGAGAAATGAGTAACTTATGAAAATCCTCTGCCTGAGAGGCTTTTTATTTAAGTCGTTTGTGAAATACAGTTCTCCACAAATAGGTTGTGTGTTGGGGGTGGGGGGAGACTTGCTCCTTTATATTCCAAATAAAGCAAAAGGAAATTATAATCGAATTTCACTGGGGACTGAAATTTAATTGGATTTTATTTTGAGCCCAAATTATCTGTCCCACGAAAAGTAATGAAAGTGGGCTGAATTCCCCCTTTTTCCCTGCGTAGCTTTCCCAAGACAGGGGCTCTTAACCAGAGAAAGAATATAGGGCTCTTAATCTTGGATGAGTAAAGAATACAGCACACATCTATTCCCACTAACCTCTAACTGAAATTCTGGCGTTTCCTTTTATTATAAAAGGCAGCCAACAAATAATAACAATGTTAGCAGGACTTGTGACTTTCTTGCCTGAGAAAACACAGATGTTTTCATCTCCCTTTAGAGCTGCTATAGATCTATGTCAAAATGTTATTTACACTTCTCACTTCTTCAAAATGATGGTAGTTCTTAGGCCCGCTGCTCGGATGTATTTTATAGGTTAATAATGAAACACATACATTACTGCCACAAATTGTTTTTAACATTTGGTAAGTGTATTTCCAGATAACTGATTTCCTTTGCAACCTTACAGATTTTATTTCATATGATTAAAAATAGCATTCCAGGGGCGCCTGGGTGGCTCAGTTGTTAAGCGTCTGCCTTTGGCTCAGGTTGTGATCTCAGGGTCCTGGGATGGAGCCCCACGGGAGTCTGCTTCTTCCTCTCCCTCTGCCCTTCCCCCATGCTCCTGCACGCTCTCTCTCTCTCTCTCTCTCAAATAAAATCTTTGAAAAAATAATTTAAAAAATAAAAACATCATTCTAAACAAACAAACTTTCTGAGAAATTGTCCATAGATCTCACAGTTGACCAAAGGGGTCCAGGACACAAAAGTAAGATTAAGAACCCTGGCAAAGATGCAGGGAGGACACCCTGCCCCCGCTTCTGCTGATCACAGAGACAAAAAACCACAGATTCTGGCTGTCGAAGAGGCTCGTTTTCAAGCACAGAGCAGGGAGCAGTGCGGTCTATCCGAGGCTACTGCAGTCAATGGAACACAAAGGGGAGGACATCAATTTGACCAATTCTGTGTTTTGTCCTAACATTACAACCGATTACATCTGAAAGAGCCAAAATGCGGTCTAGCACAAAAAGAAGAGGCTCCCCTCGGGGCGGGGGTGGCACAGACTCTCAGAGCAGGGCTCCTCCAAGTGCGGCCCAAGGATAGGGCCGCTCATTAGTAGCAGGCTTGGGCTGGAATGGAAATCCACTGACTCACTAAGAACACTGGGTAGTTTAGCAGACAGTTTTCTTCATAGCAAGCTGGTCTTCCTGGAGGAGGCAGTTCACCAAGAACACATTCTGGCACAAGCTCTGTAATTCACCAGATCAGGGACCTTGAGAAGCACTGGAGTTCTATTAGGTCTTTAGCTCTGGAAGTAGTCTTAACACCTTTTTCTTACCTACCCCCCAGCAAGCCTGGAACCAGCACACAACACTCAGTAGATACCTCATGAATATTATGCTAGTGGATGCCAATTATTAGAGACCTACTATGTGTCAGGCACTGGGCTAAACATCCTACATATACTACTTCATTCATTTCCATGACAACTGTGAATTAGAGGTTACCTCTGTCGTTCAGATGACCAAACTGAGGCCCAGCAAGATCCTTTCGGTCCCCTAGGTACACGTAGGCTGCATGAGTTTGAAACTCAGACCTGTCTGGGTCCCCAGGCTAAGCTTTTTTCAGGAGGTTACACAGCCTTAAGGTTTGTTTTAGTGATGACCACCATGTCTACACAGGAACACAGCCGAGGGAGGGGATGTGGTTAACACCAGCCACACAGAGCCTTTTCAAAGAGAAGCATGGAGAAGGAATAAGGAAGGATGCACTTTAGATCATCTCAAATTTGCCCCCACCTCAGGCACAGGAACCACATCTGATTTCAGGATAGGATTGGGAAGACAGCATAAAAGAAGAAAGCCCCCGGGGGTGCCTGGCTGGCTCAGTTAGGAGAGCGTGCAGCACTTGATCTCGGGGTCGTGGGTTTGAGCCCCATGGTGGGTGTAGAGATCACTCGAAAGAAAAGAAAAGAAAAGAAAAGAAAAGAAAAGAAAAGAAAAGAAAAGAAAGAAAGAAAGAAAGAAAGAAAGAAAGAAAGAAAGAAGCAGCAGAAGAAAGTCATATGCAGACAAAATTACCTTGAAAATGCTTTCAGAAAATGCTGCATAGGGAATAGCACTATAAAGCCAGACATTTCACCAGCAATGGGATAGATTATTGTTTCTTAGATTGAAGATCAAGTGAAATAGTTGCCCTATGCATAGGAGGCATCATGGA